TATTTTGCTGCTCACAGCCTTCAGGCTGCTGCAATATTACATTTAGTCACCCCATGGCGAAGTGAGATGTACCTGACTCTTCTAACCTGCTCTCATAAATCACAGTGGGAGGCAGGGAGGAGGAGAAATCCTGGTAAGCAGCCAGGACGAATCTCAGTTGACAGCTGCAGGGCAGGGGCTGGTGGCTGCCTCTCTGTCCCTGCTCTCCAGAGGATGAGGCCAAAGGCTGCCTCTGTCCCAGTGTTAAGCACCAAAAGATGTTTCTGCACCACTTTCTGAGAGACAACAGCTCTTGGGGTGAATAAGAAGCCCAGGCCAGAGCACAGGGATGTTATCTGTGGGGATGAGGTGTCTCTGTGATGTGCACAGTAATGAATTGCCCTCTCTGCAGAAATGAGTAAGTTGTGCCTGCTGATGCAATGATCAATTTGCTCCATCATGCAAAGCTGTCCATTCATCATGGCCATCGACTGCAGCCACTCACACCTTTCTATTGGCCCCAGTGGAGCAGGAGGCTCTGCAGGAGAGCCACGGGCTCCTGCTCAGGAGCAGCCTAAAAAAGGAGCTTCTCCTCTCCCCCAGCCTCCTGGCTGAGGGTCCCCATGGCACTGAGCACCCAGAAATCACAGCCTGCTCTGCTCCAGGGGGGCAGAAGACAGAAAAGAAGGAAAAAAGATCAAGTTCCCATGGTATCCCCTGCACAAGTGGCAAGAGGAGCTGGCAGGGTGTCCTCTGCCTGGATGCCATATCCCATCCCACACGGACCTGACCTTGAGGGATGCTCACCTGCAGCTGCACACGTTCATCTGTGCTCCTGCAGATCAGGAAGGAGGTTAAGGCACAGAAAAGTGAGTTTTGCTGCTGCAGCAGCAGGGACAGCAAAGCTGTTTCCACACTCTCCTGGCCCAGATTCCCTTTGCCTTTCTCGTCCACTTCATTTTTCAGCCTCCTCCACTCCCAGGGAGCCTCACACCACAGTGATCACCACTGACTTGCAAAACCACAAGTGCCCAAATCACTGCAAAACCCCTTTAAAATATCACTCAAAACCTCTGTAAGGCTGGGGAAACAGTGAGGCTGCAAGAGCACAGCATGACAGAACTAGTGAATGCCATGAGCAGGGAGAAAAAGCCTTGCTCCCATCCTTTACAGAAGACAGGACTCAGGAAGGCACAGAGAGGGGGAGCAGAGCGTTCTGCCTCTGAGAGAATTGAAAATAAAAATAACAAACAAATAAAGAAAAAGCAGAAATAAAAAATCCAGTTGATTGTACTTTGGCAAAGAATTCAGAGAGCAAAGGGGCACACTTGGGAGCAAAACGAAGATGAATCGACAGCGAGTTCAAGAGAATTCATTCTACTGCTGAACACTTGTCTCTCCATCAGGACATCTCAAAGGCTTGTCAAGTGAAGGCAAGGCTTTTATTTGTTTCCATGGTTGCCATAACGATAGAGCTATATGTCATGTCAGGCAGCAGCTGAGGCTCGTGCCTCTGATTTATAGCTGCTCAACAGAAATTATCAACTTTTCTGCAGAGCGGGTGGCACAGTGAACCGTGACCACTGGGCGTCTGCCAGTGCCGTGCTCTGCCCCCAGGGCTAGCTCTCCTCTTGGTCCCCCACAGCTGTGTGTGCCCCAAGGGATGCTTTTATTATCCCGTGCAGAGATGCTTTTATTATCCCCTACAGGGATACTTTTATTATCCCTTGCGGGGATGTTTTTATTATCTCTGCAGGGATGCTCAGTGCTGGGGCAGTAGGACCTGGGGGTTGTGGATTTGGGTCCTTCCCATACACTGCCACAATCAGAGCAATTCCTGACCCACAGGACAAGCTGTACCTTCCAAAGGCTCAAATGGAGATGGCAAGGTGTGCGGGAAAGGCCAGCAGAAGGACTGAACACCTATCAGTAATTTGTTTAACAAAATTTTATCGACTACTGAGTTTAACACCAGGTTACGGGAGAAATACAGGTAAGAGAGAGAGATGGGAAGGGAAACAAAGAGGGGTCTTGAAAACAATCAAGACAAGGTGGGACTGGGATGCATTTCTTGTCCTGGCAGGGGATGTGCTGCAAGGAGAGTCTGGCCAGCCTGGGACCCCGGGCTGTGGGGAGAGCCCTGCACACTGGCCAAGCTCATCTGAACAAAGACGTCACCGTGAGCGGGGCTGTCACAGCCCCAGGCTGTGACTGATGTCATCATTGTGCAGAGGATCAGACTCCGGGCTCGAGGAAGGGATGCTCAATATGGTCACAGATAAATTATATATGCAAGTTTCATTAACTCTAAGCACTCTCATTCCTAATTTATGACGCACAGCCCTAAAACCCCCAGCACACCCCTGTGTCCTGTCCCCTGAAGGCCCTGGAGCACCCTAAGGGGGATGTTTGCATGAAGCCTACTGGCCCCTGTTTGCTGGAAGCTTCTCCAATGACTTGGATGCATCAGGGGAAGGTTTGGGCCCTTCATCCCCATCCACTCAAGTACAGCTTGTGACACACACAGAGAGCAGCACTGGAGTCAGCATTTCCCCAGAGAGCTGCTGAAAGGCCAAGCTCCACCTGTCCCTCTGCATCTTAAGCATCTTCATAAAAACACAAGACCACATTTGAACCTTTAACCCTCTGAGTTGTAAAAGACTTCATCACTTGTTTTCTCCAAGGCAGGCTTTCTGCCATTTCCCTCCATTAAACTCTTCAAGACAAGCGACCCCAGAGCCAAAGGTGTCAGACTAATGAAAGGTCTGCAGGAATGCAGCACGCTCGTTATTACAGGCACAGAAGAAACACAGCATCAGCCACCATCCCAGTGTCACAGGACAGCAAACAGGGCACGCTGGGTGCTGAGGCACAGCTGTGCTGTCACTGGTGTAACACAGCCCAGGTCTGCCCTGTGGCATGGACACAGGACTGTATTAAAGCCTGAGCACTGCAGGTTCAGGAAGAATTTCTTCACTAGAAAAGCACTGTCATGCATTGGAAGGGGCTGTCCAGGGAGGCAGTGGAATTCCCATTCCTGGAAATACTCAAAAAGTACCTGAACTTGGCACTCAGTGCACTGGTCTGGGTGACAAGGTGGGGATTGGTCACAGGTTGGATTCAATCCTTGAGGTCTTTTCCAACCCAAATGATTCTGTGACTCACCTGCAGGAGCTCCCAGCATGGAGGGACAGCAGTGCTGCCACAGTCGCAAAGGCAGGGGGAGGGATGGCTGTGTTTGAACACCAACACCATGGACAGCATGTGCACACCTCTGATGTTGGTCTGGTGGGCTGGATCACCACCTGAACATCTGAACCACCAAAACTGCTCCCCTGAGAAGCTCCTTATGTCAGTCCAGAGATAAAGCAAAGAGGCTGCAAGAAAAGCAGCTCTGAAAGTGCCTTTCTCATTGCATGAAAGCACCCACGAACCTCAGAAGAGGGTTCCACCCACTCTGGGGTGCTGAGGATCCTGAGCTTGCAGGTCCTCGTTTGAGAAGTGTTTCAGTTCTAATGTAGAAATAATAGATTGCTTTGCACTTCTCACTGTATCTGTGAAACCTTCCATAATTCAACATCAAATATTTATTATTGCGTTTATTAAAGTTTAAATAATTCAGCAACTCCTGTGTGTAAGATACGAGCACCGTGAACTCACACCTCCCTTATTCTACCTGAGCCACTCCAATATTTATACCTGGAATTCTCAGTTCAGGTTCCATTTATGAGGGGAGCAGGCAACAGCCTTGTGCCAAGAGCTCCCCTCCTCCTGCCTGGCATTCATCCATCCCGACAGAGACTTTTCCACAAGGAGCAGTGCCCAGAGACAATTACTGCACTGGAGCAGAAAACAAGCTTCTGAGCCTGTACCTTCACTGAGGCACTTTTAATGAAGATGTGAGGGGGAAAGAAATAAATAATGTTCTCTTGGCACTTTGGCTTGGAAAATGTTAGCATAAACCAAGGCAGCCCTTCCCTTTCTCAAATGAAAAGCAGAAGTTGTTGGAGACAAGAAAAACAACGGTTCTAAAAGAGCCAAAGTGTGATAGATATGTACCCCCGGTCTCTTTTCACAGGAAAGGGAGCAAGCACTAATTAGCAACAAAAACACACACACTTGGAAGTGAGGACATCTTGGATGCCAGTCCTGGCTCTGCCATAGCTTTTGTAGGCACTTGCTTTAACTACAGCCCTGCCAAGATGATGGGACAGAAGAATGGAAATCCATTCCTCATCACTTGGGGAAAAGACAAGACAGAAAGGGCTGGGGGACACAAGGATCCTGCCAGTGCCCAGGGAGATGATTCATAACACAGCCAAGGATTTTCAAGTCAGGATATTGTTTCTGGAGTCAACAGGAGAAAGCAGCAAGAAAGAAGGGAGGGAAGGAGGGAGGGAACATGGAATCGTCTCCCTGGCACCAAACAGACACATTCTCAATCTTAATTTAATGGGAGAGAGGGGAATACACACTAAATACCTTGGGAATTAGACCCTTATAATGCACAGTTAAACCCTTGTAAACCAGACCAAAGAGGATAACCACCACCAAGGGGATCAGAGAAATGTCTATGCATTCACTGAACTCCAAGAAGGAAATAAAAATCCTCTAATTGTGTAATTATTGGATGAGCAACATGGCCTTCATGAGTATCCCAGCAGATATCAGTGGCCAGGTGGGTGTAATATAGGTATGAGTTTCAGAAAGATGACAGCCCCTCCATCCAGTAAATGCATCCATTTAAGCACTGCAATATAACATTACATTTAAGCCACTCTCAAATTGCCTTGCCACAGGTTCCTACCAATTCACCTGCCTGCACTGACAGATTTCAGAGTTACATACTCAAGCCTGGCCTAGACCCATCAGCCCAAAGAGCCTGGAGAGCAATCACATCAGATTTCTTATTGGAAGGAAATTAATCAAACCTATCATCACAGAAATTACTGCATCCTCAATAACAATTTAGAGCAGTGTAGGCACTCAAGCATGAAGAAAACGAGAAATCTGCTTCCTACCTGACATCTGCTGGATCTTCTGTCACCAGAACATCTGTCTTGCAGCTGGCAAGGGGATTGATGGAAAGCTCCACGGGGGGCACCACGAAGCTCTTACTGACTGGCAGCCAGAGCCCTTGACCCAAACTGTAGGTGGACCTGGGAAAAGGAAAACATGTCACACAGGAACAGAGTGTCCACAGGGAATGGTGTCTCTCCACTGCCCACTCGAAAGTCAGAGCAGTGGTGGCACCATGAGATATGTCAGTGATTTGGTCTTGTCCTGAAAGCCAAATGGGACAGGAATGACTTGAGATGTGACAGGAGAATATGGGAATGGGAAAACTCTTCTTATTATTCCAGGAGGCGTTTCTGTGCATGCTGTCCTCACGTTTGCTGAAGTGACAAGACGAGAACCCTTCACTTCTTGACAAGTATGGACAAATCTTTCAGGTCTGTCACAGACAAATGACACTTGTCCCCTCACCAGCACAAGAATGAGCTGGGATTGACCAAGAGGTTGCATCCACTGGGATGTTCTTGTGGCTTTGCCTTCCCAAATGCCCCAGCTGCACCCTCCTGTGCCTCACCTGAGTATTTTCTCTGGTGCCTGCTCTCCTGTGACCAAGTCATATCCTCGCTCCAGTGTCGTGTAGGGCCAGGGCCTGGGAGGAGAGAGGGCAAAAGCAGCTGAGCACAGCACTGGGCTGGGCAAGTGCACAGATCACCCAAGGGGAGAAGAGGTGGGGTCATCACCAGCACAGGAGCCAGGGCAGATCCACCCCAGCACCGTGTCCCCACTCTCCCTCCCCTGTGTCCCCACTCTCCCTCCCCTGTGTCCCCACTCTCCCCTCGCTGTGTCCCCACTCTCCCCTCGCTGTGTCCCCACTCTCCCCTCGCTGTGTCCCCACTCATTCCTCGCTGTGTCCCCACTCACCCCTTGCTGTGTCCCCACTCATTCCTCGCTGTGTCCCCACTCTCCCCTCGCTGTGTCCCCACTCTCCCTCGCTGTGTCCCCACTCNGCTGTGTCCCCACTCTCCCCTCGCTGTGTCCCCACTCTCCCTCGCTGTGTCCCCACTCACCCCTCGCTGTGTCCCCACTCACCCCTCGCTGTGTCCCCACTCATTCCTTGCTGTGTCCCCACTCTCCCCTCGCTGTGTCCCCACTCTCCCTCGCTGTGTCCCCACTCACCCCTCGCTGTGTCCCCAGTCACTGCGCACACACAGGTGTCGATGGACAGGGTCTGGGGCGTACCCTTCATGGCAGCTGCACTCTCCTGGAACAGAGCAGGGGAGGAGGATGAGATGTCTCTGGCCCAGAGGAATGTCAGTGACTGCAGTCAGGTCCTATTCCCCTGCTGCCCATCTCTGCTTTGTCACAGCCCCTCTGGTCCCTCCTGTGCCCCTGGAGCACTTTGGACTCCAGAAACCCCCAGGAAGTGTGGAGAAGTAGATGTGGAAAGCTGTAAGAAACCCGTAGTTATTCTTGGGGGGGGATTACATGATGCAGCACCCACAGTAGCTGGGGATGAGGTTTCATGATGCAGGTCTGTCCTTAACCAGTGTTCCTGTGCATTCCTGCAGCCAGGGGTTCACTCCTCAGCAGGGATCTTGACCCCACTTGACCAGAGCAGTGTCCACCCTGTGCAATCCCCAAAGTGAACACCACAAACCCATCCCACATCCCCTTCCCACCTCTGCTCTGCCATCTGGCACCAGGACAAGAGTGCAGAGTCTCCTGCAGCCCAAACTCCCACTGAAAAATGCAGAACCCCTCAATTTCCACCCTGCACAGACAGTTCCCATGCTGTGTCCCCATCCCACAGTGAAGGGGCTCTCAGCCCTGCTCCCCTCTGCTCTCTGGCTGCTGCCTCACCCTGCTCCTCTCTTCTGACAGCGGGGAAAGACATCTCCCCCACCAGAAAACCCAACTGCACTTGGCCCAAATTGATTCAGTGTTTGGTAGAAATACATAACCCGGAGCAAGAAACAGCAAAATCAAAAGATTAATTGGATTTGCACATGGAGTTTCTGCTACAAGCTGCTGCCAGTGTTTTCCCCCAGCCTCCCTCCTCTCCCCATCGTGTAGCAAAGCTGAGCTGTAAACACTGCTGAGGTGGGGACCTGGGCAGGATGCTGGGGAGGTGGGTACCCCCCTCACAGTGACAATGCAGACTGGCAGCTACCTGCATGCTCCTCGGGATCCTAAGTAAGTCCTTAAAATGCCTCACAAGGATTACAGTAAAGAGCTTTATTGTCAGGAGGGAGTGAGATGGGGATTCAACCGCTGAGATTTTTGAGGAAGAGACGCCTGGGAAGGGAGAGGCAGCAAAAAAAGGAAAGAGTGGGGGGAAAAAAGAGACGGCTAATGATGTGCTAAAATGCAACAGCACCTTCATGAAATATTCACTGCCTCAAACGCGTCTAATATTAAAGATTAAATGTCCTGGGATTTGTCCTAGCGACTTCGAAGCACTGATTTATGATCTGTCAAAAGCTGCTAACCTCATGATTCATAACAGGAGCGGCAGGAACATTGCTGCTCCAAAGGGAAAGAGTTGGGAGAGAGATGGCAGCGCTTGGCCCTGCTCAGGCTCTGCCTTGCCTGGGGGCTGGGGCGGTCTCAGTGCAAGAAAACACAGGTCCTAATGGCTCCATCAGTGATTTTAAAAAAAGAAAAGTTATTTTTTCCTTGGGTGCTTAGTACGCAAGTTTCCCCGGCCGTGCTGTGGATCATTAATTCCTGGCGCTTATTACATAACAAATATATGCTCTGCAAATGAGAGACATCTCAAAGTGCTTGCAAAGCAGAGCTGGGAGTCTTGGGGCACTGGCTCACACTTGGCTCCTGCCACAGAAATTAGAGCAAGTAAAGAAAATACACCTGCAGAGGTCAGCATCCCATGGCCCAAAAGCCTCCCCCCATGTCAATGCTGGGGGTGCTGGGTGGTGAACCCCCTTCCCACGGCACAGGAGGGTTTATTTTGTCTGCTGCCTTGTTTACTGCTCCATCAGTTTGGCATCAGAAGGAGGAACTCTATCAACCAGGAGAAATATTGATTTTATTGACTCCAATCCTCGAGTTTCAGCAGCTACAGCCGGTGCTCAAGACTTTATTGGGAGGTTTATTGGGAGGTTTATTTCAGTAAGTGAGAGGCCAAGTGGTGGCACCAGCTGGGGAGGAGATCCAGGGCAGAAGAGAGTGGGGCTCAGCTTTCCACGGGTTTCCCAGGGTGATGTACACCCTTTTGGCAGAGTTTTGGAAACTGGATAGGACGGCTCCCAGCACGGGATCAGCTGAGTGCTGCAGTCTGCTGGAAGATTGAGGACTCCATCACCTTGGGTCAGGTGGTTTAGGATCTGTTCCTCTATCAAGAGCCATGAACTGACAATTAGTGGGGCTTCCAAAAAAATTCAGCAGAACCTGCTGTGCTCTTACAAGTTCTCAGGAGCTTTTTCCCTTTCCCCACCAACATCTACCTTCCTTCTCTGGCCCCCTGAACTATGTTATTTTCAGTCTGTCCCCATCCTTCCCAGAGACAATGCTAAGCAGGGTGGATGCTGAGCCTGGCTAACCCCCATGGAATGAGAAACACCTGATAAAGTGCCTGGAGTGGGGGAACAGGGTTCCCATACCTCTAACCCCTCTTTAGGGTGTGTTTTTCAACGTGCTGCTAAAATAAATCAAACCATTATAAAGGCCAAACTAAAGTGTCTTTGTTCAAAGCAACTGCATCTGAGATGGACACAGTTATCCACTCAACCCTACTGCAGCTAAGTTAGGATTCAAGCTGAGCTTGAAGCCAAAGTCAACCAAAATAACCAAGTTTGACAAATAACTGCACCTGGAGCTGGATGCAATTTCCACAGGTCCTGCACACGCCTGTGTGCAGCATTCAGCTGCTGTGGGAGCACAAATGAATCAGGATCTACCAACCCCCAGGACAAGGATCCTGCTCCCACTGCCACCACCCCACACCCTGCCTGTGGCACGGGCATGCAGGTCCTTCCTCTGCTTTTGGATTCAGAAGCCACAAACCAGGCTGGATAATCCATGGCAATTTTTCAGCTGTTGCAGCCAAAGGAAGGATCACTGCTCGCTCAGTATAAATGAGGGCAGGTCCCAGAGCTCAGCTCTGGAGGTCCAACATTGTATTTTCAGTGTGTTATTAAACAGGTAGGGGCTTTAGCTCTCTTTTTTAATAGAAAAAGCTGGAAGTTGCTGAATTAGCCCTCCATTATATTCTCCACGCTGTGCTGCTGCTTCTGCTGGAATGGGTCTCACACTGCACCCTCAGCCTCCCTGCCCATCCCCACAGAGCCTGGGAGCAGCAGAGCAGGGCTGCAGGATGAACCATCAGCATGCCAGGATAAGCCTGTGAGCCTCATTATGGACAGAGCCGATCCGTGGTGATAATGGTGCAGGAATCCCCCTAAGCCACCCGCCCAGTGCACAGCAGCAGGACGTGGAGGCTCCCACAGTCCCTGTGCTCCCAGGGAAGCTGCTCTCTGCTGTCACTGGCACTTTTATTTAAGGAGCTGGAGGAGCTTTGGCAGTGGTGGAGCAAAGCTGTTGTTTGTCAGCCTTCTCTTGGCACTGCTGGTGTCTGTGATTCCCTCTTCCGTGGCAGCACCTCCAACTCTGGCACTCACCTTTGTTCTGGAGGAATGCCCTGCTGTGCCAGGGCTGTGCCCAGCTGCACAGGTACATCTTGGGGACAAGTCCAGACCCCAGCTGGGGTGGCAGCCTGATCCCAAAGGCTGTGGGGCTATAAACACACACCTTTCCAGCCGTGTGAGCATTGCACAAACACGCTCATGTTCCAGGGCTGCCTCTCCCTCCCAAAGGGATACAGAGCTCAGCCACAGTTTTGTGTCCACTCCTCTCTGGAAACACAGAGCCCCTGCAGGGAACAGTCTCAGCAGAGAATCCTCAGTGCCACTGAGCCTCAAAGCTGCAGCACCACGTTCCCAGCCTCCCAGTGAAGCTCTCTGAAAAGTTCCTCTTCAACCCCTGGTGCCTGCTGTTCCTGCTCTTCAGGGATGACACTTTTCAAACCTGAGCCTCTGCTTCATTCTGATCAGAAATGCAACTTTTCTAGAAGCAGTTTCGAACTCAAGGAACGAGACGAAGAAAGTGGCTCCTGCCCTACCGACCTGGCACAGAGCACGGAGGGAAAACATAGAGTGAATTTGACAATTATCCCTCCTCTACCCCTGCTGCATGTCACCCTCCTCACCCTCATCCATCACAGCACTTAAGTGCAAGCTTAGCCTCCAAGGATTGTGCCTGAGTTTAAGCTCTGCACAGATTTAATTCTCATTATCATCTGCTCAGCTCCTACACCACACCTCCAAGGAACACATGAGCTGATGCAAGGAAGCAGAGAGGTCCCGAGGGTGGCCTGTGTGCCACAGCTGTCACCTTCTGGGCTGGGCACTGTCTCAGAGCTGGCCATGGAGGGGTGAGAAGTCCCTGCAGCACTGGTTGGATGGCCCAGTCTGGGGGATGGGTTCAGGAGCAGCTCCATACAGCAAAACCCATCCCTCTTCCCTCCTCCCTGAGCTCTTTAGACAAGCACAGAAAATGCCATTACAAGAACATTAGCAGCTGCAGGATTAAACACTCTAATGGCAGAAAATGAGAGAGCAAAGACAGCACAGATAACCTTAACTCGGCCCCTCGCAGGCACGAGTTTTGATTGCTGTTTATGTATAACACTTCAGCCTGGAGCTAAATTAGCTTGGGAGTTAACTGCCTCCTGCCCTGCCTGGTGCACCAGGCAAGCTGTGCCTCCACAGGAAAAGGAATGGGATATTACATGGGTTTTGACCAAGTTATTAAACTCCATACCTTAGAGAGACAGAACCTCATCCTATAAAAGTCTAAGTCAATAAAGGCACCGGGATCCTCCAACAGCGAAAACAGCAGAAGTGCACGA